TGAGGGCTGGCTCTCAGAGGGGTTGGCAGGCCACTCCCCGCGAGGGTGGGGGAGAGGAGGGAGAATGACTTCCTGGTCACCAGGCACCAGGCCAGAAGCCCAGAGCCCCAGAGCACATACTCCATTGTGGTTCCCGCTCTCGCGCTGACCGCAGGCACTAGAGAGCCGAGGAATTAACAGTGGGTGCTGCTTAATAAAATATTTGTTGGATGAAAGGAAAACATAGAATGGGTGCCCCCTCCCCCTTCTACTATTGTAAGAAGGAAGCAGCTTCACTCTTCCTGAAGGCAACCCAGGACACCCTGGGTCTTCTTCCCTGCCCAACCGGTCTCCCCAGTGGGCCCGCCTAGGACTGGTGGGGAAATGCAAAGGCAGGTAGACCAGGAGTCGGTCTTCCGGCACCGCCCAAACCCAGGCACAGGTGTGTGGGCAAACCACATCTTACACTGATGGAGGACCGCTCGTGGCCCACCGCAGTGATCTGCACGTTGCCCAGGTGTAGGATGGCAGCCAGGATCTTAAAAATATCCATCTGAAAATCCTTCTTGAAACCTGAAAACAACACAAAAAATGTCCCGAGTCAGGAATTTTGCATTTCTTCTCCGATTTCGCTGCGAGGAAGATACGCCCTGGGTGGTGTGGAGCCACCCCGGTAGCAGCCATGCACCAAATGGGAACGGACCTTGTGGATTCGCAGACAAGGTATCAACACAACACCGCACTATGCCGTCAGCTGCTGGGACATTTAACCAACAGTCGGATTCAAAGGACTGACTGACTTTCACAACAGCTTCTTGGAGAATCAGCTCCCGCTTAGTCTCTGAGTTTAGTTTGCAACTAACTCCCCACATTCCATTTAAGGTGGGGGTGCTGGATGGATTCCACTTGCCCCTCCAGGGCCTCTGTTCCCTAGGGTCTCCCAGCTCAACAGGGTCTCCTGGGCTCTGGCTTCCGGCTGGATGTGCCCAGTGGGCAATGCTGGCAGGAGACCAGGGAGAGAGAGGGCTGGGCTTACCTGTCGCTGGTCTCCTTCCTGCTTTGGACTGGCTACCCCTGATCGGCCGGCTCACTTTACCCAACTCTCTTCTCCTTTTCTAGGCCCGATGGAACAGCAGTGAGCAGCTCGGCGGCCACTACTTCCAGTCCTGTGCGACCCCACACAGCCTCCCTGTGACCCCCCACATCTTAGTAGCTGGTCCCTTTGTCAATGCACCCTCCCCCTTTATCTTAATTTGAGTTGCCACGTTTCCCGAGGGGAGCCTGGCTGCTGGAGGTGGAATAGAAATTAAGAATAAACGAAATCTGTCACCATGTGGGGATTAACCAGATGTCATCGAGCTGAAAATACTCCAAACCAGCTGCTAAGAAGGACCTTGCATGAAGCCCCATAAATGAAAACAGGACCTGCCAGTGGGCGTGGGGCTTTGCGAGCTGAGGACCCCAGTCTCTGGGTGAGCTTTGGGGTGGCGGAGACGACACTGAGGGGTCGGGTGGGCAGGAGGGCTGGGGTGGGGGGCTCTCTGAGTTGCTCGGTCTGCACTGCTCTGCCGAGATGGCCCAGATGGAGACAGGTGGCTGCCCCTGTCCCCTTCAAGCAAAAGAGCTCCTTGCTGCTGGTGGCTGTCAGATTCGGACTCACGGCAGCCCCACTCGGTTTTCCAGGTTGTGACCTTTGGTAAGCAGGTCACCAGGCTTGCCTTCCAAGGCACTTCCGAGTGGGCAAAACCACGAAGCTGTTGGCTGACAGTCCAGTGCTTAGCTGCCTCACAGCCTCACCCAACCCCCACGAGTCCATGGCCATTGAGTTTATTCTGACTGCTAGCAACCCTATAT